ACCGGACATGTTCGTATTTTTATTCGAAGATAAGTGAGAATATCTGATCGATCGATTTGTACGACGGTTTACGAGGTCGAAATTCCTTTTCGTATACAGTTCCGCAAAAGTGCTTTGTACATAAGATTTGTGTGACGTAATGCAGGGACTGAACTAAGGGGTGGAGACGGGGATTCGTTCTCGGTCGTAAAATTTTAGAGGGTGTAATTTTTGTAATTATTAATAACTGATTTGATATTTTTCACTTTGTTAAATACCGTTAGTATGTTAAAACTCGACGAGTATGATTGTATATTAATTATTAGACAAAAATTCTCCAGAAGAGTATTTGATTGTTGGTCCATGATAGGGTGTAAAAATTCCTAGTTCCAACTCTAACGTAATTGTTGCTCATTTTTCTAACATTTACATTCCGTGTTTACTTCTAAATCGTCCTTGTTGCGTACGATCTATTTTTGAGTAATAACGACTGATTCATTGTATTATGTTCGTTATTTTCCACACGCGATATTTTAATATTACCTTTTAAGACTCACGTCCGTGTATGTTAATTAAATAAATATTAAGTGTTGTTTAACGTAAATGTAACACATGCACGCCTTCATCACGACGGTTGTACCGACACCGTGACCGTATTTAATCCGCATGATATAAGATTTCAACTAGCTAGACGTACTTGGTAACGATTTTCATATTCAAGCTCGTGCAGTAGATGTACCTATATTATTAATTTTACATAATTTATATTATGTGTAGGTACATACGGGGTGAAACAGTAAGTTCTGTCGTTCTTACCTATCGGCTGTTATGAAATCTATACATCAGATGTTTCTGCATCACTCTGTACGTAACGCATGTATTGCATGCTCTTTTTGTTAAATACAAAATACCATATATTATAATAGTTTATGGTCGAATTTACACAGCGTTGTGCCTCGTTTAGTTGGTATAAATTGTTTAGAATTTTCGATATAGGTATTGTCATCGCTGGGCCACTTATTATCATTTATTACTATTGTTTCCTAGTGGCATTTACCTACACACACTACTTTACATAACCTACACTAGCATAAGAATTAATAATAAACAGGTCCTGATTAATTTCATCGAAAACTATACTCGTATCATACTCGTATACAGTTTTACGCATAAAATTATAATATTTTTACCTGGTCCGCGGTAATACTTTGGTTACCAATAGTTCTGTAGGTGAAAACGGATCGATTTTTCGCGTATCAAATAAATTAGATGCGCAACTTCGCTTTGTAAATGCTAAAATATCACCATACGTATATATTTGTTTTCGAATGACTGCGTCTTTCTAAAGACTTAATCGTTCGAGAATGTGAACTCCTACAAGATTTATAAAAAATGAAACTCTAAAACGATCAATTCAATAGTTAACTATTATTCACCATTTAATTAATAGAGAGCAGCATCGTGTTTAGTGTTGGGATTATATTCTTGCACTTCCACTGCAGTTCGTTGATGCAGCGAAGTGTATTTACGTTTACATTGTTCGGCCGATCGGATTAATTTTTTTTTTTTTTTGATACACATGAAAAAAAAATTACTATCTCGACATTCTACTGGAAAAAAAAAAATTAACGTTCTAAAACGACGTTTGTATTATACACGGTCGAACGATATTCCGAGGCATTTTCTAACTGCCTCGCACGTAGTCCTCGAATACCGCGTGGCTACCGCATAAATAATTACCGCTGCTAATTAATCGAAGGCGAGTCACTGTAATTTGTCAGAATTCACGCGCGCACATACTGTACACCATATCGGGTACGTTTATTACTGGTAAGGAATGCAGCAGATTTAGAATCGAATTTCGTCGTACGATTATAAAATAATAGTGGTTCTTAATTGAAACGTATTGAAGTGAAGTTTTTATTTTTTTATCGATTCATCCCGAGATATATAAAAAAAAGTACCTGACCTAGGCTTCTTCACGAACAAAAATGTTCGGTCAGCAGTGTGGCAACAAATAATAACTATCCCCTGTCGAGAATCAAATGCCTATCCCGCGATGCAACGTGCCATCGCCTGGTATTAAAATAAATGTAGCGCCGCTGTAGTACCATATATGGTTATTAGCAGGGTTTGGTAGTTAAGGCATTTGTTTATTTTAATGAATTAACTTAAAATGTAGCGGAGTGCTATAGAAGCGTATGTCAAGTTATAACACGTACAATTATGAAATTTGAAAGTGCCTTTTTTGCTTTTTTCAGCAATTTTTCAAAAAAATGCTTCTTTCCAGTTTTTCTGGTTATTTTTGCTTAATTGACCAATTTTTTTTTACGTTTTTATAGTTTTATCCCGCAAAGTCGTTTTTGGTAGAATTAAAATTAAAAATAATTCTTATTTTATCTACGTTGTCATGTAGTTTGTCGTCGTCCAAGGTATCGTTGTAGGGTTAACAAAGATATTCCAACGCTGAAAATAGAACTGAGTGTCAAACGTCAGAATGATCAAGAACAAAAAGAACAGTTTACATTTTATTTTTCGAAAAAATTCCTCAGAAAATCCATTAAAAGTCTTGAAAGTGAAGATTTATTTTTATTTAGTTAGAATTTTATAGTTTTTTTTTTTTTTTTTTTTTTTTTTTTTTAATAAATATTTTTGCTTAATTTTAAATTTTTTAAATGCTTATCTTAGATGTTTTTAAGCGCATTTATAATCGTTTATTTTAATGATTTTAAGTGCTATAAGTCCCGAGCGCTGGTTATTAGTTATACGCCCGTTCTATACGTATAGATCATCCGAATAATCTACCAACACGTATTATGTATCTACCCGCAGTGGCGTACTTACGGGGAGGGTGTAAGGGGTTTCCACCCCCCCCACAGATTTTTTTTTTAATGATATTTGATTATTATTTATTAATATTTATATATTATAGTAAAATATTTTGATTTTACTATGATTAGGTATATATTAAAAATTGAATAACAAAATAATTTTCATTAATACGGGATATAATAACACTATTTTAAATGTAATATTATTATATATGATCTCGTTTTAAGATATACTACGAACACTTAAAAACTTACTCTTAAACACCCCCCCCCCCCAGAAAAGAATTGTATCTACGCTACTGTCTACCCGAAATCACAGTTGCTGAGGTCTTGGAGCGAAAAATGTTTTTATCTCATCCGTTCTGTGAATGCCAAAAAAACACCGTAGGTTCGTAACCGTACGTAGCGTTTAATGGTATGAAAATTATAACACCTACTTGGGCGCGTAATTACAGTTACGTGTGAGTCGAATAACGGTGTACCTACGGGAATTGTTCGTATTCATTTCGTTGTTGACGGTAGTTTTTCGACCGTTATTCTGTTGCACGAGAACAAAACGCTGTTGTTATCGACCGCGTATTGTTTTGGTTTTTTGGCACGTTGCACACCTACTGCGGTGATCGACTGTTCCGCGGCATCGAAAAACGTGCACGCGTCCAGACTATTTTCCCGCCAGCTACGTCTTCGGTCCGATTTTTCGGAACATTTTTAAAAAAAAAAAAAAAAAGCACTAGAGTTTCACCGAAACACTGTAGCGCGCACGCCGTTATCGCACGGTGTCGACATTCCGACGGTAGTAGCAGGCGCAACTCCAAAGGGGGGGGGGCACAATGGACATACCCCCCACCGAGCTTTTCGAAAATTTGAATTGTTTAATAAATGTTTGTCCTCGTGAACCGTAAAATCTCGATCGTTTAATTAGACACCTTACCTAACAGTTTAATTTTGCCTAAAAAACCATATCACGACATTAACACGAGGTGTTTATCATAATATATTAGTAGTCGGACTCTGTGCCTAAGTACTGATTTGGGGAAACAGCTATTATCGGTTAACACTCGATTCAATAGGTAATATCGACTCCCCCTCCGCCCCGGTAAGTCACCGAAGCCGCGCCTGGGTAGTCGCACGCGTCACACTGGAATTGTTCCACCCGTGGGCTCGCAGATTTTCTCCGCCGTCGACGGGGACGCGAGGGCGATGGAGCCGGAAGGCGGTTGCGGCGCGCGGTATTGACGCGTCGATCGTGCCGGAAGAATGGGCGGCCCTCCGTAATTGGTGCCCCGCGGCCGCGGCCATATTGAACCGCGCGACGTCCCCGCCCGCTACGCGCTTCCGCCGGCGACTCGGAACCGAACACCTCGCCCCGCCGCACGTCGTCGGGGCCCCCACGATCGGTGGCGGGGAGACGGGAAGACACGTTGCGGCGGTGAGCGGCGGTTAGGCGACGATGAAAACCGAGAGAAGAGCGAACAGGATCAGAAACGGAAGACGAGCATTACCGTTGTCGTTTACATCACCGTCGGTCGTCAAACGATCCACTGCGGTCACCTCATTGCCTCCTTCGTGCGCGCTTACGTTAATCTTTTCGTACGTACCGCGAAAACAAACTGTAAATCCGTACGCGGATCCGCCGGACCCGCAGGATATCCGCAGGACCGAGGCATTACGGAACGTTCTTCCGGACGAGGTCTTCTCACGGACGGACTCCACGCACGCACTACGGTTTCGTGCGAATCATCAGAAGAAAACAAAAACTATTAGCAAATAACGCACGCGATTCAAGTATGTTGTCCAAAGGAGAGAAAACGTGTGGAACAAACGACGAACGTGTACTTAAGTCAACAATGAGTTTTATTAAATTTTTTTTTTTCAATCTCAACGTATTATTGCTATACAATAATATTTGAGTGTACATTATATACAAAAAAAACATACATAATATTATACACATACATAATAGGATTGGCACTTGTATACAGTTTTACCCTATCTTAAAAATTAGTCTATTGTCGTACATATACATACATATACATATGTATAATAAATAATTTATATTATATAACATATACTCACGCGCGCGCACACATACACACACACACACACACACATACACATATACGTAAAATATGTTTGTACGTGTATGTTTATTTATATATATATATATATATCTATTTTACAGACGTCGATATTTACAAAAATAAATAATTGATTTCGCGCAAAAACCGTTGAAACGTAAATATATGTATATATATATATATAGATAGATCGTCGTACACAAGAAATAATGTGAATACGGAAAATAATAATGCGATTCCCGTCGTACAGTACCATCAACAAGAAAAAAAAAAAGAAAGTCTTATGACAATTAATAACACAAATAATAAAAATAATATTAAACTAAACAAAAGTCGAAAAATATAAAATAAAAAATCCTTCAAGTGCTCGTGCAACGACTGCCTGTGTACATACTACAGTTGTATACTTCGCGCAGGGAAAATATAGTCGTAATAATAAAAATATAATATGAGGAACTAGTTAAAACAATAATTCAATCGAAGGCTTATACGGTGTATTGATGCGACGAGAAGGGAACGGGGGCAAAACAATGTATTTTACCGGAAAAAAATAATATTATATAAAACCTTTTTCGTAACATACGAAATTACGATACACGTAGTCGCTTATACGTGTACGATACGCGCACGTGTGATGGTTCGTTTTTGGTGACTAGTTTCCGTGTACAGTGATTATTATTACTGGAATAATAACAATAAAATTAAGAGAATATACGCGTAATTGCGAAGAAATGTACTACTATAATGTTTATAGAACGAGATAAATACGCGTCGCGTGTAGTCTTTGAGTACCGTTTTGGGGAGGCTGAACGCGAGGACCGTGCGCACTAGACGCTTGTTGTGGACCCCGGGCCACCACCGCCCATCGAAGGGGTTGGCGACGCAGGGGTGACGGACCGTCGACCGCCCCCGGGCGACAGCGACGAACGCGGTGGCGGCTGTTGTTGGTGTTGGCCGCCGCCCGGTTGGTGCGACGGCGGCAGGCCCTGCTGCTGCTGTTGCTGCTGCTGCTGCTGCTGCAGGCCTTGCGCAATGAGGTGGGCCATGGTGGGCCGGTGCGACAGGAGCGACTGCAGCTGGTGCGGATGGCCGAACAGTTCGGACGGGTGTTGGAAATAGTGCGGCAAATGCGGGTTGCCGTACAGCGGGTGGTGTGGCCGGGCCGCGGCCACCGCGGCCATCTTTAACTTTTCAATCTCGGCCTCTTGCAACCGCTTGGCTTTGGCTCTCCGGTTCTGAAACCATATCTTAACCTGCGAAGAAGATGAGAAAAGAAAATTAAAATTTTGTATAATGCAAATACTGCGGTTTAGCAGTGATGTCATTGATTTTTCGTTTATCCCTAACACAGGGACGACCTAACGCATTAAACACTTCGACCGGAATATCGCGGAGCAGAAGGGAAATTGAAAAACGGAATTTTTTTCTGACAAGCTAATTTCAGTCACTCGCGTTTTATTAATTCATCTTTTAAAATGTAATTACACTCTATTAATAATACACAATTTGGTACAAACGATAATTGTATTCATTGCGAAGAAACGAATTAGTTTCAAAATCGTAATTCGAGTTACTTGAACAATTCAAATACGTCCCCACCTGAACGGTACGCCTAATAAAATTCAACAATATCGGCATCGAACCGATGCGATCGAAAACGATAGCATAACGTTAAAATATTAAAAGCGAATCGATTTGTCGGTGACAAGTATGGACGGCCGCGGTAACAACGGACCGGAAATGAACTTTTAATATGTTATTACATAAGGTTTCGTAACGGAAAAGGATTTAAGTATTTACCTGGGTCTCGGTGAGGTGAAGTGAATTGGAAAACTCGGCCCGTTCCGCAATGCTCAGGTACTGTTTCTCCCGGAACTTTTTCTCGAGATTCAACAGCTGTTGCGTGGTGAAAGGCGTCCGGGGCTTCCGGTTGGGTTTGTGTTTGCGCAGGTTGCACTTGAGTTTCGGCGGTTCGCCGTTGTTAGAATCTGGAGACAAGAAACGAAAACATTTATGAGTATATTGCACACAATTGTCACCAAGATCACGTGTATCATTTGCACAAATGCTATTTCGTCGTTATATATACTGCTAAAGGGGCGAGCACGCGTTTTTAGTATCCACCCATTCCGTACGTATTGATAATTTGTTTACTACGTAATGGAACGTTTTGATTTCTACAATTAAGTAATAACTGAACAACTGGTACTAGTTTACTGCACCTAATGATAATGTAAAAAAAAAAATCTTAACCATCGGCCGATACCGTTTACCAACCAAATGTTTTACCAGGGGCGAACGCCCTGAAATAACCGCTTCGACACACCGTTGCTTATATTTAACGTCAGAGTTGGCGATACGTCTAAAATTTGATCGTTGGAAAAATTAAAACACGTGGCAGATTCAACGCAATAGGGGGTGTGGTAACCGCTACCCTTTAGACGTTGGCCTCCAAGCCCCGAAGGGACTAGGTAAATTGAGTCCACGATATTTTGTGTACCACTTTGAAAGCGGTAAATTGAGTCCCGGGAAAAAAGATTTTAGGTAAGTTGGGTCCCGGGGAAAAAAAGGTAGTAAGTAAATTGAGTCCCAACTACTAACTGCACTACCTTACCGTAGTCATTTTACAAATGACAATTCAGTGTTGTTGTTTCTATCGGTTATCGATTCCATTGTGATCAAATAACTTCGTAACGTCGTAACTTTGATTATTTCTAATTAATATACGTATATAGGTATACACCGTATATTAGTTTGTCGTATATCGTGTATCAGTTATCAGTTATCATCAATATTGATGATAGTTCTTATGATTACACACGAGTGTACGAAATCTGAAAATCACTATATTTTTCGTAGCGTGCATTGCGTACTGTACGTCGATTTGAGTTTGTTAAATTCGTATTCTTAAGTTTTTACCGAAAATGTTATAACACAATAATATTAAAACTGATTTCTAATAAAAATTATTAGGTATTTAAAAAAAAATCGTTTACCTTGGACTTCACCTACTACCTTTTTCTCCTCGGGACCCAACTTATCTACTACCTTTTTTTCCCCGGGACTTAACTTACCTATTGCCTTTATTTTCCCGGGACCCAATTTACCAACTCCCACCCCGAACACAGCGATGCACAATCGCTCGCAACAGCTACACGTCACACACACACACACACACACACACACACACACACACACTAATGTACAAGGTAGGACGCGAATTCGACGGGTTGACGCATCCCGTCTGTCTAAAAATACGCGGGGAACAACGTTGTACGATTAACAACAACGATGTGTGGTTCGTTTCGAAAGTTTGTGGCAGATTTAAACGCGCGAAAATCGAGGACGAAAAAAATGCAAAACTCACAGGCGGCGGCGGCGGCGGCGTTATCGCCTATAATAATATATTATTCGCGTTTAGGCCAGAGTGTTTTTTTTTTTTTTTTGTTTCTTTCCGACTTGGCACGACCCGTGACTTCGTGTACACACGCTCGGGCGCACACGTATCCAGTGCGCGCGTGTGCAGCCACGGGCCGGGTCGCGCCGATTAACGCGTATTTGACGCGTTCGTTTTAACGTGCATTTGTCTCGGTCCGGGAGCACGTGAGAGGGACCGGGGAGAGCAATTAGACGCCGCTAAAAATAATAATAAAACGACGGTGCCGCAGAGAAAACCGTTGTAGAGGAAAGGCATAAAAAAAAAAAAAGTCTCCCGATTATAGTGAGATGCGCCGGCGGAATGCGTTCACGGGAATACCTCTGCAGCGCTGCTGGACGTCTGTTCGACTTGCAGAAGCGCAGGCGAGACAAGAGAGAAACATCGCACAACGTACGCGCGACACAGATTCTACATAATACGAGTGCATAACGTGCGCACAACACTAACCGCATATACTTGTATGTATATTTATACGCCGTTTACGCGCCGCGAAACAATAGAATATAAATATTTGAACGCGATAAATGTTCAATACGAAAATATCGTTGCCGTCGCTATTCTATTTTATTGTTTCGGTCGCCGAGCGCTCGTTTATCCTATATAAACACACGTAACGTTACGTACATTGATGGATTATAATACCTGACGGTTGGATTCCGATCGTAATTTACGCGTGCATAAAAACTACTTAAATTAACCGTCGTGATACATATATGTATATGTATATGTATATATATATATATATCGAGAAAAAATTTAAGCACTCGGGTTATTATAGATCGTGGAATGCGAATTATACCACGGTCGACGGTGTTCGAGCTTCGGTTTTGGTTTTTTTCGATTTTACGAATCGCACGTGTTTTCTCTTATTTTTGTATTTTGTCGCACACGCGATATTATTCGTTTGTGCAGCTAACCATAATTTAAATATAAATGTAAATTCTTTGGAGACATTATGCAGACGAAATGAAATATATATGGTGCACGCGCAAAGCGATATCAGTTTATTAATTATGTTATAAAAAGTTTTTATTTGTGTAACAATAATACGTTTAACATTTGCATAAGCACGCGGCAATTATTACAGCAGTACAATAAAAGGCAGTTGTTTATTTTATAGAACAATATATTATTATTCATGATTAATCTTTTAATTGTCAACAATATTAGAATAATGACTAATCATTAAATATATGAAAATAATATATTATATTCAGATGTATAACAATCTAACCTATACAGTAATATCTAAAAGCGATTTATTTTCCAGCGAGTGGAAAAAATATTGGTTATAGAAGCGAATAGGGAAGATAATGAGTATACATCTGATGAGCAATTAAGGAATGAGCAAACTTAGACAAAACAGGTACAGATGAGACAGAGACAGCGAAGGAATCGTAAAAATTAATGTAAAATGAAGTAAAAGGAAAAGGAAATCGAGGAAGAGATGCTTGGATGGAACTGAAGGAATAATTGTTTTAATCGTTCAATGCTTAACATATTGTACTACAATAATTGTAAAGTAGTAATTTTATTGTTTGATTCTAAACGATAAGACTGTATCTTTAACACAATTAGTTGAAATAATACACCGCATAAACAATATTTAATGAAAATGTATGTTTTATAAAGTGAACTACAAGAGTTGAGTGCGGCTATCATTTATTAGCTGAAATGGTTTAATTTGATAACCCAACAATACTTCGATCGAAACATTTTTTTCGTTATGTCCTTTTCACCGATAGCGGTTCGAACACAAGCGTATTTATTGTGTTAACCTTAGTTTATTAGAGATTATCGACGTAGCACATCAGAAGTGTATTGAATTTCACGCTACCGATTGTAATCTATACTGAAAAATTGATCTCCAATCCCTGAGCCACCTTATTCTACGGATTTTTGCATTCGCAGAAAATGAAAAATAAGTTAAAACCGTATACAGCGTATTGATAACCCACAGGGTTAATCGAACGAATCGGCGAGAATTATACGGGTAATTTTACAAATCGATCGGTAATATTCCATACAATAATAACGAACGCGTAATTTTAATTATATAGAACGAAACGCGCGGATCGTAATCGCGTACAATTAAATCGGTTTTGCGAACACCGAAATTTCGCGATTCGAACGTTGTCGTTAACGACGGTTTTATGCACGTAAAATGGAAAGTCCAACAGTTATCGACGGTTAATGAGTCGCACAGGTATATATGTATATCGACGCGTAATTGAAGGTACCTTATGATAATTCGGTAAAGCACGATTGAGCATAAAACGATTGAGCATAGACCTTTTTAGCAACACGATTGAGCATAGAATATTTTATGCGACGTTGCCACATTCACGTTGCCAAAATTTTGTAATTTATTATTTTCTCGTATTATTACACCAATTATTATGATATCTGACGCGAGCCGTGAGCTTTATCGGCTTTATAAATTTTATCGACAATGTTATCGATTAATAAATTAGTTCCGGAGCAAAACGACGTTTTAAACATTTAGCATCGGGGGAAAATATAAGATAATTAAGATACAAATCCAAAATTATTATAGAAATAATATCAGTGTTCGATCACCTGTGTAGTGTATAGTGCGTGTATACTTAGTGCGTTTTTCTATTTTTTTAAAATATGGATATAACAATTATTTTATCGGAAAGAGGCAAAGAATTGGCCCTAGTTAATTTATACAAGTATAAATTAATTGGAGAGCGAAAAAAAGACAATCTTTTGAGATGGAGGTGTACTAATAATAAATGTTCGGCAATAATGTTCTCGGGTTTCGATAAACGTAAAGTGATTGAAACTGCTGGACAACATAATCACGATAAAAATTCTATTGAGAAAATAGAAACGCAAGTTTTAAGAGAAAATTGCAAAAGAAAAGCTGAAGAATCAATTTACACACGGCCACTTAAAATTATTCGCACCGAACTTTTAAATTCTTCTCCAACATCAAATTTAAACAATCAAAATGTAAGAAATGTACGGAAAGCAATGTATGATAAACGGAAGCAGACCTATCCTAAATTACCAACTTCTTTGGATGAAACAATTCATCAATTAAGTGACTTAAAAAATGAAGAATGTTTTAAATATAAGGGTCAACAATTCATTTACATGCCGACTGATGATAATTTTGTATGTTTAACTACAGAACAAAATCTACAATTTATGACAAATAATTGTACTGAGTATTTTGGCGATGGCACATTTAATTATGCTCCAAAATATTTTATTCAATTGTACACAATACATGGATATAAAAATGGATACTACTTACCACTTGTTTACTTTTTTTTACCAAATAAAACTAGGTCTACTTATATTAAAATGTGGCAATTTTTAAATAATTTATGTTTGAAATTATGCGAAAAAAGTTTGCAAATTAACACATTTCATGTTGATTTTGAAATTGGAGCTCATCAGGCAATTACAGACGTGTTTGGAAATATTAAAATAATTGGATGTAGATTTCATTTAGGACAATCATGGTGGAAAAAAGTAAGAAACAGTTATATAATATAGTGCTTTTTTACTAAAATATAATAATTTGTTTGTAGATTGTTGGCGAACCTTCACTCAGAATAGCATACATGGACAACAGTAATGAACTAGGGAAATGGTTGAAAATGTTTTTTGGTTTGGCGTTTATTTCCCCAGAAGAAGTAGTTGATGCATTTCACGAGTTAATATCAATTTGTCCAAATGATGACGGTTTCATATTTTCTGATTACATTATACACAACTATATTGAAGATCACTGCCAGTTTCCTCCAAATATTTGGGCGGAAACTCCTTCGCTAAACCCAAGGTTTTTAACAATATTTTTTAAAACTTATTATAAAAACTTTTTTTACTAATTTGTATTGTTTTATTTAATTTTTTTTAGAACGACCAATGCAGCTGAAAGCTTTCATCGCACGTACAATTCACAGTTTTATTCACCTCACCCCCATGTTCATACAGTCGTTAGGGTATTGATCGAAACACAAGCGGAAACATCGACTAAGATCAATTCAATTCGACACAAGCCTGGAAAATTACAATCCGCAAAAGAAATAAAAAAAAATGAATTGAATATTCAAGCCTACAGCCAGTTTTTAAATCGTAAGAATACGGAATCTTTATTAATTTATTTAAGTCAAATTGGAAGCAGATACCAAGGTGTATCAATTTAATTTATTATTATCAAAAAATCTAGCTAGGTATATTATACTGTATTATAATATGAATGTGACAACTATTTATAAATATTTTGATTTTATTATTTTGATAAGTCATAAGTCATAACTATTATTATTATTTTATTATTAACAAAAATATCTATATACTGTGACAGCTATTTATACTACTATCATAAGTATTTTCATGCATATTAAATATTGACTATGAAAACATGATATTTTTTTGTCATGTTATATTTTGATTTATTATAATTATTTAAATAAATGTTTTTATACGATACAGTTCAAAATTGAAAATGGCAACGTTGCAGAGTTTTTTTATGCTCAATCGTGTTGGTTTTCTTTTGTATTTCAATTTCCTTTGATACGCCGACAATTTATGCTCAATCGTGTCGCAAAAAAGGTGTTTTATGCTCAATCGTGTCGCAGCCATGATAATTATACCACGCGACAATTATGAATAATTATCTAGACAATTAATAATGATTATGTATTCATGGTGTATTTATAACTCGGCAGAGTTGATGAGTGATACGAATGAATCGTGTTGCGAAATCGGTCGAAAGCGTAAATTGCACCGGGTTCAAGCGCGTTCGCTCAAAATATGATGGTAAATTACTGTGTGTGAAACGTCGAACGAATACAAATTCGTTTCTCGAACGAGAAAATCGGCTCATAACGTTTGCAAAACATTTTGTTTAACACTGCCAGTGGCGACGAAATGGTAAATCGGTTGATTATCATATTGTTTTTATACGGCGCACGCGGACGAAATATATTGGATGCGAATTTATTCGCCGCGGAGATAAAATTAATACGAGAACCTAGAGTCGGACGACGAACACGCGAAGAAGTACGTGTATGTAAATAATCGTTTCGATCGCCAAAAGCCGTTAACGTGATCTCCGAAAATACGTTCAGAACGAACGCGGAGTATAGATCTATTGATCTATTCGATGATGGGTGGGGAGGGATGATTAGGTGGGGAACATTTTTGAAACAAGAAACTTGAAAACTTACCGGGTGATCCGGAGTTGAGACCGGCCGAACCGAAGGCGGGAAACGCGCCCGCGTAGTGCGGATGCCATGGTCCCGGAGCCGCGGGATGTTGCATGCCCGCGGCCGAGTAGGCGGCCGCTGCGGCCGCGGCGAACGCGGTGAACGGCGTGGGCCGGACCGGGGCCACCGGATGGTGCTGGTGATGGTGGCCACCGGCCGCGGCACCACCGGACATCATGAACGCGGCGCGCGCGGCCATGGCTCCGGCGGCGGGTTGCTGGAACTGATGGTGCTGGTGGTGCGACAACGGCGGCGACGGGTGCAGCTGGACGGGCGACCGACCGCGATCCGGAGTGCTGGACGAGCACCGACCTCCGTGCGGCCCGTCGGTTGTCTCCACGTCCACGCTGTTGCGGTCGTCCTCGTCGTCGTCCGGCGTGTCCATGTCGTCGTCGTACACGGAACCGGGCGTGGGCGACCGGACGGGCCTGGTGTCGGCCAGCAACGCGGCCACGCTGAACTTGATGTGACCCGACGGCCGGGCTGCGGCCATCACGGACGACGGGCTGCTGGCCGTCTCGTGCTCGTTGTTGTTGTTGTTGTTATGGCTGTTGTTGTTATTGTTGCTGATGTGATGGTGGATGATGTGGTGCTGCAGGTGGTTGTTGATGGGCATTACCATGTTGGTAGCGGCCGCGGCAGCGGTTAGCCGCAACGGCTTACCGGTGGTCTCGTCGCCGCTGCAGTCCATCGGCACGGCGGCAGTGCGTTGTTGCTGCTGCTGCTGCTGCTGCTGTTGTTGGTGCTGCTGGTGCTGGTGTTGTTGGTGCTGCTGCTGTTGCTGTTGTTGCTGCTGCTGTGCACCGTTGTTGGAGGACGGCGTCAGCGGCGGTGGCGGCAACAGATGGTTGAGCGCTAACACTGTCATATTGGTGGCCCCGGTCTGTTCTAGCATGTGTGTCCGCACGAACGGTCGGCAAAGCGCATTCAACACTCGCGGCTGACCACCGACGGCAGACCGCTGCAGTGAGTGGCGACGGACCGCGTGCCGTTATGCATAAATATCGGCCGAACGCGTGTCGTCGTCCACGAACGGTATTTGCGATAAGAATGAATAAGTATTTAAATATACGACTGTGATACGTTAAAGACGGTCAACACTCGCGAAACGGCTTTACGGTTTAACGAATAAGACGCGGAGTGCGCGAACTGAAAAAAAATGTAACATAAATCACAGCGGTCCACGGTAAACGTATAAAACGAGCGCGTGTATGTGTGTGTGTACTAAATATGTTTGTACAGTTGTCCCGTAACGGCGGCGGAACGCGAACAGTAGCGATGTCGTCGGTCGACTGAACGTCCGATCGGTAAACGCCGCCGCTGCGGTGCGGTGGCCTCGTGACGGCGGCGGCGACCGGAGCGCGCCCGGTAGTGGCCGCCGGCGCCGCCCACCAAAACGGTTACGCCCCCACGGCGGCCCCCGTGCCCCGACCGGTCGTCGCATGGGTGGACACGACGGCGTTCCGTCAATACATACACGTCTCGTTCGCCCGCGGGCCGCGTTCGTGCTCGCGCTCACCACTCACGTTTTATTCATTATTGTCGTCTCGCGCGCTCGTTCGCCACCCCACCAACCACCCCTCGATCGGTCCGTTCCAGCCCTGGCACCCCTTTGCGTTCGATGCGCGCACGCACAACGATGACAACACGCACGATCCACGGGTCCGTACAGGAGCATCGATTACATGTATGGTTAGGTTCGGTGCTCTAGGGTTGGACGGAATGCCACGACTAATTTTCAAAAATTTTAGCGTCCCCATTATTACGTTATAATTATAACGCTTAACAAGTTTTGGGGATGCTCTTTCTCTTTTTTTTTTTTTTAAAGCTAACGGATTCCCCTTTCCGCTTCAATTTTACCGAGTCGAGCACCGATTAAAAAAGTGTTTTGTAATCAATGGTACGCGCGCGCGTATGATTGTCCGTACCGCGATCGACGTTCGTGAACGAAAAACAGCGATCGACGAAAACAATGAAAACGACCCCTCGCGCGTTACACACCGATCGTATTGACCAGTTCGGAGACGTTCGCCGGACGGATTGCAATAACGCGTTGCGTTCGGCTCGGCTTTTGTTCATCGTCGGGTTTTTGCGCGACGATGCGAGGAAATCGCCCTGCGACCGCTTGTACCACGGAAGGGATCAATCGATCCATCGGTTTTCCTACACTAGAATATTCCCCGAGTACAGATTTATATGGTCGAAGGATTAATCGCGCGATACGGTGGAGTCAATGCATTAGCGTCGTTATAACATATCACGAACGATAACATTATATCGTTATTATCATAATGAATTATAACGATAATTAGAATGTGAAATAAATCTAAATTAATTAGACGCTTACGCGATATCAGTGTTGAAATGAATCAAAAATTGTAATCGCTTATTCGCGTTATTAAGATTAAAAATAAAGCACTGGTGTGATAGAGATGATACCTGGTACGCGTAATATGAAATTAAAAAACGCAATAACCTTATCTGTAGATAACTACGAATAAAATAATTCAAGTACACCTAATGTTATAGTTACCAGCTACTTGTTTTTAGAAACGTTTACACTCGTTAATATTTGAGACACGTTATTAATTTGAATAATTATCCCGCGCGCTGTGATGTATAAAATCAAAGAGCCTCATTATAAGAGCATATTATAATACTCATAATACGGCTTCAGATAAGGAAATTACAAATTATTTCAAGAATTTTAATGTTACACAAGAGTAATAAACGACTTTTTCGTGAACATTTGACCCGGAATTATCATCATTTTTCATATTAATTTAAATGTTATCTGTGTATATATACCATATATATTATTACAGTATTATACGTTTAAATAATTGATTTTTGATATTTTATCTTTATGAATATATAATAATATATTGCTTATGGGTGTGTGTGTGTGCGTGTTTTTTCTGTACGATTGGTTTTTAATCTTTGTACTTTTTATTTACTTTTTGTGTATATTTATTAATTATTAAATGAAAACCTGTTTCGTGTGTGGAGGTAAGCATAGTGTACGTATTCAAATAACAATAAAATATTGTTGAACAACGTTTTCCGATCGGTGCAGACAAATACAAATATAGATTAACCAAAAACCTACGTATTGATACTTATTATATTCCTATCTGTATAATCATTGCAATTAGATTACGTTATTGCAATACACAAACCGTATATTTTATATATATATAAACCTTGACTGCCGTTCGAGTTTAAAATATACTATTTATATACGACTTATGCACGATGAAAAATGATAATCGACACGAAAATAGAGTTTATTTTGGAGATTTACCTGTTCGTTCTTTACATGTATTTATGGATATTTTATTTTCTCTTCTCATTACGGCTAAAGATAACATTGAACAACGTTTATAACCCAGATCCCCGATCCCATACTGCCATCGTATATTATAACTATACGTTAATCGTGCTCTAATATAAATAAGCTCCAGTATATATAGAATTTTACGTGCACAGAAAAACCTAAAATCCAAATAGACCTCAATAAAAATGTTATTACTAGATTGGTCGGTAGAGTTGTAAACGGTTCGACGTCAGTGAACATTTTCAAAGGTGTCGTATAGTCTTCGATTTATGATTTCAACACTGTTGCAACTATATATTGCAGTATACATGTGTAGATATTTCACATTTATGAACATATAAATGCAATTTATTCTGATGTGTAATTACAACACAATTGAAATCGTAAACATTTTATAGAAACAGAAACAAATTATTTACTACCAACATTCTTTCGATGCAGTAGAACCAGTCTGGAAATAATGTTGATTTTAAAAACTACAACAATGTAGGTATTTTTTTTTTTAGCTTCATCTTTAAGATCATACTTCAATACCATTATATTAATCGATTTTGTTACTGTTTGTTCATAACAAATTTAAAAACGCTTTGGTCTTTATATATATAAAATTATGGCCGACTTAGGGGAGGGGGGAATTATACCATCTCACAATCGAATGATTTATTTATATAGTCCACAATCATTAACGAATTAATTAGTAACGAAATAAGTAACATTGTTATTGTAGAATTTTGTATTAGAAAGCAGTCAGCAAATAAGTTTATTTAAAACCCCCCCCCCCTCCTCCCTTCAATATTTGCTAGCGCCGGTTCTGCATATCATACATTTATATTTATCATTATCTAATTTGAATTAAAATATTACGCTCTTTCAAGGGATAACAATTCTAAAACTTACTCGTTCTGATTTCGAAATTAATTATGTTATCTAAAATTAACAACTACCAATGTGTGTATAGTAAATATGAGATTTCTCGTTCATATGAATATTCATAACACCACAAAATCATTGACAGAGGTCAATAATTGTAAAGATTAATTATAAATAGCAGCACATATTTTTCTCGTAACTTATACAAATCCACTATAAAGTGTGTGTAGAAAATAATTATGTGAAAAGCTTATAAGAATATGATATCATCTGCAACGTGTACGTTATTCGTGAACGGTTTCACAACAGTGAAAAAAAAATTGAAATAATTTAACAATTCCGTGATGTTATCGCGTTTACACGTATTAAATACTAATTATATATATTTATGTATATACACACAACATGCACATATATATATATTTATATTTATATACTTATTTATTGCATATATATATATATTTATATTTATATTTATGCGGTACGGCCCATTAGTATGTGTAGTGAATTATATTTTTTTAATTATTATGTAACTACGCGGGACTCGTTCGGTCGTAAATTAAAAAAAAATATTAATTTTTTTTTTTTGCTTGTCGTCCACCCGTTTACCTCGTCACGGAGCTGCAGCAACAGTCTATTGTTTTCATGTCAGCCATATACACTTGCGTAGTAGGTAACGTGTCTACCGAGTGTATATTGCGATCGGAACGATAATGTTCTCGTGTCGCGCACTAATTGTTTAAATTAAAACTCAACACTACGTTGTATTCGTGTACGCGCGTATACGTGTATGGAAACCGTTTTACTCGTATACGTAGTGATTAGGTGTATGAATATAAGATATTAATTATCTCGTACTAACCTGTGGGCGTGTGTGTGTACTTGGTTGACCAAAGTTTCTGCCGTCATGGATTCGAGCACTGAAACAAAAGATACTAGGCTACAGGTTGCTTTTTCCGTTTAATGTTTAATACAATATTTATTGTAACACGTTGTATGATTACTATTGTTTTATATACACCCATTATTAAATATGCGTTTTACGTTCTCATCGTCGGAGTATAGTTATCACGCGTACACGTACGCCCAACCGGTATAAACCTTTAAACGTGTACGTGAAAATTGGTCGACCGCATAATTAGTGCAAAACGTCGAGACACGGTGTACTTAAAATATCTTAGATGTTGTGTTCAATTCATGCCGTCGCCCAGACAGGATTTGAGTACACAGTATTATTCTAATTCATTATTTAGAGTTATTTAGAGAATAGGGCAATAGTTTTTAAAAATGTTCAATTTTGCATTGATAAATCGTGATTTAAAAAAAAAATACCGAATTGTATTCGCGATTGGATACTTCGTAAGTTATTCGTCGCCGAATATGTTATAATATCGTGCACGGTTTGTGTATTTATACGCATTCGACACCATTAACGTTATAAAATATCCCGTGTCCACGTGGATTTAATATTCGTTCAGGTTTATCCGCCCAATAAATTCGAACGTGTAATGTAGTGTGTTTTAATGTAAATCAGTCTGGATTTTTTCAACAGATGATCGATTTGAATAGGTAAACGGTTTTCTCATTTGTATATTATACGTAATGTTTGTAAAAGTTTTATGTCTGTGAAATAAATATAATTAATAATCATCGAAACGACTGTTGCACGTCCTCTTATCGTGTACGCAAACACGACGATATTTACGGAGATAATGTTAATACTTAAAATTAAATATACCCGAGAGCGCGCGTTGGTCGTTGTAAATTATAATATAAATTATAAGTAGGTAATGTTGTAGACCGTTTCGTATCGCGTACGGCGATCAAATTACTATTTCACTTGTGTGTACCTGTTATTTATTCGATTAGATGTATACGAAACATGGAAGTGTATCGTAACGAAATTAACGCGTTAACGACCGCGTTGGCCAATATTGCGTGAATACCGTAATCAATGAGTTACCTGATGTACGGTTAACTAATATGAGTAATTATATAACAATATTTTCGAATTTAATTGGTTCGGAAAATTAATTTTACATTTAGCCGACACACACGCACGCACAAGCACACGCATTTGCATAGGCACGCATTTAAA